TAATGATTCTCACCTCCCTTTACCTTGGTTTGGTGCAAGTCTTATTCTAATCTTCAGATAACAGCTGAGATCTCATTCTGAGAAGTTTTCCCCGTTCTCTATAACGTAAATTAATTTCTAAATTGTTACTCTGATAAACTTTGTATTTTTAGTGTATTCATATTATGCCTGTTACTAGTTGCCCGGTGCACGGATTTGTGCCCATTGAAGGAAAATCAAGGGCACGTGGGCTGGGAACCGCGCTGCATGCCTGGGGAGTTTCCACGTTCCTGTGAGCCACCGAGAAGTCGCGTGGGGAGTCTCTTCTCCTCCCTGCAGCTTCCTGAAAAAGTATTTCCAAATGTCCCTTCTATGGCCAAGGTTGTGCCTTGCTGGCTAGGAGGTCCCTGTTGGACACCTTGGGCCTTGCTGGATGCTTTCCACTGCTCAGAGCTGGATAAGAGACACTCTGAGGTGAACAATACAAAGTTGGGAATCTTGGTGGGTGGGGGTGCTCTGTTGCCCACACCTCCACCCTTCAGATCCATCTCTCTGACTTTTACCTCAATTGTCAGTTGCCATCTTGTGGCCACTGTTATATTGCTGCTCAGGGCAATAGGTAAGGGATGAGATTTGATCTCGATGCCTGAGGCAGAGTTCCAGGAGCCTGGCAGTGACATCAGGCTTGTCCTGGTTACTCCGAGTGTCTGTGCTTCAACCATTCTCTGGAGATTGTAACTGCAGACTTACGGGGTACGAGGGATGTAGCAGTGTGCTAAGCGGCAGATGGCCGGGGAGGAGCCCAAGCCGGGGCCAGGCACCACTCCCATTGTGCCTGCCACCACCACTGCAGCTGCACTCGCCAGCCGTGAACCCGGCTTCTGGCTGAGCTGTGCTCCCACTGTGGGAGCGCACTGACCACCAAGGGGCAGCTCCTGCATTGAGCATCTGCCCCCTGGTGGTCAGTGTGTGTCATAGCGACTGGTCTTTGGGTCGTAATGGTCACTTAGGCTTTTATATATATAGATTATAGGTGTGTGTGCAACTACTTTTTATTTTATCCTCCCCCGTCCTGTCTAATAAAGAGGGAATATGCTAATTGACCCTCATGCTGTCACAAAGGTGGTGGCGCCCACAGCCAATAAGGAGGGAATATGCTAATTTACTGCCCCGCCCTCAAAGATGGCAGCGCCCACAGCCAATTAGGAGGGAATATGCTAATTGGCTGCCACGCCCTCAAAGATGGCAGCGTCCAGTCCCCTCAGTCCCGCTGGGGCGGCAGGCGCATGGCAAGGCCAGGCCTGGCTGCTCTGCGCGCCTGCCTCCAGAGTCCCCCAGCCCCCTCAGCCCCCCAGCCACCCAGGGCCAGCCTGAGGTGCAGGTAAGCCTCGGATGGCGGCTGCCCAGCCGCCCAGCCGCTCAGGGCCACCCAAGGCACAGGTAACCAGGGCCAGCCGAGGCTTAAGCTGCCGGCAGTGGCAGCAGCAGAGGTGTGATGGGGGTGTCGCCTTCCCCTGATTGCTGGGTCGCTTCCCGCCTCTGAGGGCTCCTGGACTGTGAGAGGGGGCAGACCGGGATGAGGGACACCCCCCTCCCCCGCCCCATGCACTAATATCGTGCACTGGGCCTCTAGTCCTATCTAATAATAGACAAACAGGGTAATTAACCGTACCTCCGACACGCTTCCCATTGGCTAATCAGGGCGATATGCAAATTAACTGCCAACCAAGATGGCGGCCGGCAGTCAGGCAGCTGAAGCGAACAGGAGGCTTGCTTGCTCCAGTGAAGGAGGAAGCCAACGTTCCCTGCCTGCTGGGCTCTGAGCTGCAGTCCAAGAAACAATGTTGCAATTATAGAAGCTAAACAAACCCCATGCTTTCAGCCAGCTGGCCGAGCTGGAGTTGCAACAGTGTTTCAATTATAGAAGCCAAACAAACTCAGATACCTGCTTTCAGCAGCCGAGGTCTCAGAGCTGGAGCCGAGCCTCAGAGCTAAAGCCGGCTCTCAGTGCCAGTGACAGCAATAGAAGGTAAAAAAATCCCAGAATAAAAAGAAAAAAAAGGAGAGGTTGGGAGCTTCAGTTACCCACCAGCCTGAAAACGACCCTCAGCCCCTCACCCAGACTGGCCAGGCACCCCAGTGGGGACCCCCACCCTGAAGGGGGTGTGACCAGCTGCAAACAGCCATCATTCCCTCATCCAGGCTGGCCAGGCACCCAAGCGGGATCCCCACCCTGATCCAGGACACCCTTCAGGGCAAACCAGCTGGCCCCCACCCGTGCACCAGGCCTCTATCCTATATAGTAAAAGGGTAATATGCCTCCCAGCACCGGGATCAGCGGAGCCGCGAGCCCTCCCGAACCCGGGATCAGCGGAGCCGGCGAGGCCTCCCGGCACTGGGATCAGCG